CACTCTATTGTTTCTTATCGTTATCCTCACTTTACTGCAACGTACTAGCAATTGAAGTGAAAAAGAAAAGCATGAAATACACATAAGTTCTAAGGAGGAGGGAACGAGTTGAGTTGACCATTTCGATTAAGAAAATGCACAACTAACATGATTGAAAAGAAAATGGTTCACACAATTTTATAATCTACGCTGACATGTATTCACTATGTTTTTGACAGGCTGTCTGTCAATACATGTAACTATATAATTATAAATTAATTAATTTTCATAATCTACGGTGACATGTATTCACTATGTTTTTGATAGGCTGTCTGCCGATACATGCAACTATATAATTATAAATAAATTAATTTTCAGATACCGTCTAATGATACATGAACCAAATAATTTATAAATATATTAACTTTAGTATAAACTTTTCTTTTAAACAAAACTAAAGTTCTTAAATATATTATTTGATGTCTATAAATTATTGATATTGTAAACTATGAGTTATATCTTTACAATTTAATTTATAATTTTTATAATTCTCAATTTTCTATTGTGCCTGTTTTTATTATATACAAACATATATAAGCAACCAAAAACTTATATTTTTAAGTACTCGATTCATTTTAATTAAAAATATTTTCTTCATAATTATTTGATACTTAAAAAGCTAGTAAATGGTTTTTACAATATTTTCCTCCAATTATTAAATTTATATACAGATATTTTATATACACAATATCCAATCTAACAAGATATATTATATGAATACAAATTGACATTTTTAATCAAATTTTGTCTGGTTCTTGATTGTGTCAATGACCATTCGATCTTCTAATGTAATTCGACTCGATTATGCGTTTGGGTTGCCAGCCGTTAGGACCGAATTTTATAACTATGATCAACGATGTCGAAACTGATTTCCATGTTGATTATACCGACTTCAAATGGAAGAATTTTATTCATATCCCACGCTAAAAGCAAATCCTTGTTTGAAATTCATTTTTCTTTTTCTTATTTTAACCACACATTCTTCAATAAAATAATATTAAACGTAAATATAAAATTTTTCTTTATTTTTAATTACGTATTATTCATCAAATTATTATTTCAAAATGCATTATTTAATATGAAAATGGAAAACAAGCAGGCTCCACTTGATTTCGATAAGAGATAATACCCAGGTCCCCGGTACACGCAAGACCCACCCATGTGTTGGCAGGCAAAGGGAATCATTTTTAATCTATTTTTGGATTTTTAATTTAAATTGAGTGCTTTTAGTTTTAGGTATTGAGATTGATGCAAATAGTGGTAACGTGTCACTTTTATTTATGATACAATACAAAAATACATAAAACTGTTTTATTAAATGGATAACGTAACCACGGATCGATTTAGTGCCCCATATTTATTATGATTGGGACTCTACAAATTACAACTACTTTGTCATTTTAAAATTAATTATGCCACTGGATTAAAATCAAAATCAAAATCTAATTTAAAGTTGCAAATAATTTAAATTAAATATTTCATGAGATTCACTATTTTTGTAATCATATATTTCATTATTTTTTATCAAGGTCCTATTTGAGCCACATTCTTTAAAAAAAGAATAATGCTATTTGCAGTGAAGACTACCGGCAGTCGCCTTATGTGGTGTATACTTGGCAATTTTTTATTTGATGTATAATTCAAAAAATAACTACCATATATATATATATCAAATACCAAATTGTGAAATGTATGCCACATAGAGCGACTATTAACAGTCTTCACTACGAATAGCATTACTCTTAAAAAATATATATCTATATATACATTTCTAAATATTGATTTGACATCATTTCAATCACAAATTTTTCAATAAAATAATATTACACATAAATTCAAAAAATTTTCTCATTTTTTAACCACACATTCTCTACTAATCTACTATTTTAGAATATATTCTTTCAAAATAATGTGGCACAAACACTTGAAATTTACTAAAAATCTGATTTTGATTCCTACCAAACAAGTATTAAATAAATGTAAACAATGCGTAATTAGAACGGTTTTGAAGTAAGAAGGGTTCACCAACCTCGCATATGATATATCGGGACTAAGCAAGCCCATTAATGACCTACAAAGATCACTGAGGAGGATCAACATCGGACTATTACAAATGACGAGCTAATTATTGTGTCAAGAAGCCCTTGCATCATCATTGCTATCAAGGATCAATCACAATTTTTGACAAGACAAGACAAATTACGATCAACTCGATCATGGACAATTATAGTCTTCTAATGCTTTTCTCCACCAATCAAAAGGTATCTCGCCATATTATTGACACAACTCCTGATGCAAATATTGTAGCTAGGGTATTTCAAATAGCCTATAAAAGGGAAGGAAGAGAGAAATATATAGATAAAGAGAGAGAAGAAGAAATAGAAAGAGATATGTTGGAGGCCCATATTGGCAACCACAAAAAGGTTAGGTAAGGTGACAAACGGGCTGCGCATTTCACGAATTCAACACTTCATGGCTTGGTTCATGAACCGTTCGAGTTCGTATTGAAAAAAGTCATGAATCAACACAAGCTCAATTTTTTGAATTCATGGATCAGCTCATTTTTTGACTGACTTTATTTATTTCTTAAAAATGCTCTACCTCATGGGAACCAGCCCAAAAAACGGTGATGTTGATGTTTAGCTTGGATGTGATCTTAGCCAAAAGCCCCAAAAAAAAAAAATAATAATAATAATGTCGCAGAGAATGTTGAGTGCGTGAAAGAAGTCGCAATTTAAAAAAATGAAAATGACAAATACAGAGACGAGGAGAGATAAATAAAAAGTAAAAAGGAAAAAAGGTAGAAAGAAAAGAAGAATATAGGTTAAGACTCAGGGAGATGGATGTGTGGCCTAAAAGGTAAAAGCCGACAGAGGTAACGCCAGAGAGAGCAGCTGCGACTGCTGTGCTGGTGAATGATTTGCGATCAAGGTTGCTGAGCCAGGATGAGTAATTTTCCTCCTTACGTTGCGATATGATACCATGTTAAGATTTACATTTGCTATATGTATTGACAATATTAATAATGTTACATAGTCATAATACAGTTCAAATCCAAAACAAGAACAATTATGCTACATTAATCTTCGTGTAAAATATACAGAGACTGTGACAAAGAGTCGCCTTAGCTGTCTAAAACTTTATCACCAACAGGAAGCCACCGATATAATTTCATGTTTGTATAAACTCGAAGAACCTGTCAGTGTTAATTTTTCATGCTTCTACTTAATTTAGTACCATTAGGCATGTACCTACAAGCTACATGCCATCTCCAGTATGACAGAATGGTAATACATCTAGAAAACAATTTGATTATCAAGACAATCATAGCATTTTATTAAAGAGCCCAAAAAAAAGAGGTTCAATTATTCAATAGCCATGCGATTTATTACTTGCCATCTGCATGCACACAAAGTAGTGGAAGTTGGATAACCATAAAGGGAATTAAAAGTAAGCAGATGAAACTGCATCAAATATCGACAAGACTTAAAAACTAGTTTTTTCAACATAACACGCTGATAATTTTCCATTTTGCTGGTTCATTTTGGGAGTGGAGTCTTCACAAATTCCCACGTGGTCTTATGAAAAGCCTCATTAGAACTTCTCGACCCCGCTACTTCATTGATGGGAACCGCATCGGTAATTTCTTTCAAATCATCTTTCGTAAGCTTCAATTTAAGAGAATCAATATTGGAGTGAAGATTCTTAATTTTAGTCGTACCTACAAATGTTAGAAGATTGAAAGATAAATCAATAAATCATCATTAAAACCGCTGCAATTCATGAGATCAATGTAATATCCACATTTCAGTCACCATCCATTGCATTACAGCATCCGCAAATGATAACAATTTTCCAGAGAAAGGCCTACATAAACTAGTTATGAAATAATCTCACTTCACGATCCAGATTTTCAAATCTTTCTATCTAGGAATAAATGGCCAATAACTATAGGGCATATATGCATAAGATGAATCTTGCTAATTGATGCTGAATTAACAAAAAGCTAGCACAAGCAGATACATTTTTTTTTCTCTCGTTCTAACCCTTTCCTCTCCCTGGAAGAACAGGGTAAAAAGAAAAGGAATATCATTTTTTTTATGACCGTGGGTGTTCAAACTAGCTTACGCGCTCCTCGACTAATCCCACGGGACCCTGAAGTTTATAGCCGGATACTCACCTCAGTAGCTTTGAGGGGATTCGAACGGGTGACTATTGGGGAGCAAAACCAAGACCTAACCACTAACATAAATAGAAATCTATGAAGAAATGTTGGTTTTCAAACCCATCCCTAATAAGTGAGGGTACCTGAAATTCAAGAGGTGCTTAGTGCTTAGCCGTGACAAGTAGTGGTGGTTATTGGTCTATTCTATCACAAATAAGGGTTCAACTTCTTGTTCAGCAAATAATATGTTTAGAGCAAAGTCTAGAGCACGCCATTTACTACAAGCAGATAAACAAAACAGATCATAAACTCAATAGTCATGAATTATGCTTATATTCTTCAGGAAAACATGTTGCCTTACTCTTCACTTAGTCTTGCATTGTTGAACACTTGTGGGTGATATCTGCATTACAAACATGATTTTTGTTCGACTAATCTAATTTAGGTGCACTAGCTCTAGAAATAAATGTGGTAGCAAAATTAACACTCCTCACACCTGTCAACATAGTTGATAGAGTGGGATACTCGAGCCATTGGTTGAGTTCAATGTGAAGGAAATATTTATCTTGGGAAGCCCAATTTGCTCAGTTTGAAGGATAGGAAACCTCAAGAAATGAATAGGAGTTGGAGATCTTTCTCCCGGGGCGGAGCCAAGATTTTAGTTTAGTGTGAGCAAAATTTTTTCGACGTCGAATGTCGAGGTTTTGGTCATGGATTTACTGACGATAAAAAAATAAAATAATAGTACGACAATACTAAAAACGACATAATTTATATATTACACTTGTTCCTTGCGAGTTTTCATACTCTGTGCGAACCGGCACTGCGACGCCGCGATAGGGACGAATTCTCTCACTCGCGGACAAAGAGTTGGATTGATTCAAATGAATAAAATGGGTTTGGATCAATTGAATTTTGAGGGAATGGGTTTAATAGGACTTCTCTCTCTAGCTGGACAGGGAAGTGGGTTAAAAAAATAATAATAATAATAAATAAATTCTGCCCAAATGTCCAGTGACACGCTTTGGCTCCACCCATTCTTTCTCCTCTCTGTGTGCCTGTTTATGTTCAGTGGTGGTGGAGAGGCATGAGTCTAAAATAGAGACTTTCAATCTTTTGAGAGAGAAGGAGCTTTAATTTCCAAATTCCTTTGCCCAATACTTAATGTAACTGAATTGGCACTGAACTGATTCAAATAGGGAGGCCCAGTTAATTAGTTCAAATGGCTGTTTCGGCTTTGTCCATGTCACAATTCAGTTTCAGTTCCGTTCATTACTATAGTTGTAAGCTAATTAAAACACCCAAATGCATGCATCTCCAAGACGATTTCTGTTTACATACTTTTGAATATGAATATTCTTACACTCTCCTAGAGGAAAGATATGTTGTAATAAGAATATAGAGTGAGGTCAGTGTCAAAGTTTTCTAAACAGATAGTTCAAATATCTTTAATACTCTATATTTCCAATCTCTCAAACATTGTTTCTACTACAGTACTTAAAGAAAAGCTTCTTATATGATTGGCTTACCTGGAATAGGAACAACATCGTCTCCTTGATGAAGAACCCATGCAAGCGCTAGTTGAGCAGGAGTGCATCCATGCTTCTTAGCCAATGCTTCTACACGAAAGTATAAGACTTTATTCTTATCAAAGTTCTCTCCCTGAAGTCTTGGGTGATCTGCCTGAAGGTACAAAAATGACACTACTTCTCAGCAACTAGAGATTATAAAAGCGAAGAAACTACAAATTGATCTTTGATACTAAAGAAGATATTACACATTGAAAATTTTAAAAGACATAGATGCGTACACACCAATGAGTTATTTTCCATGCTTCCCACAACAGCCTTCCCAGCAAAAAACCCTCGACCTAAGGGACTGTATGGAACTATTCCAATCCCAAGTTCTCTATGATCCATTTCCGAAAAGAAAAAAAGAAACACTACATGAGATCATAATCTTTAAATATGAAGGATGACAATTAGAAAAATAACCGACACAAGCTTGAATTGTAGTAGTGGAAAGAAGATTAATCAGAGTATTGAAGCATTGATAGAAAAGAGGGAAAATACTTATTGTATTCTAATTAAAAGCACAACGTTCAAAACACTAACTGAGACGGTAGTTTTAACCATTAGTACTGCAAATTAAATTCAGGAAGAAAAATACAAAAACATGGAAGCATTAAAATAGAATACAGGAGCTCAACATTGTAATGTTAATCCTAGGAGAAAAACGACATCAAATAATTATGTTGTGCAAAATTAATTTCAAATTCAAACATCAGCTCTTAAGTTCCTATTTAGATAGCAAGTTGCAAAAATGTTAGCTGAATATAATATTTTATGAGTGTTACAACAAAAATGGGTTGTAATGCTTCTTTGACTGCAATATATACAATGTTCTAATTCTTGATGGATGTAGGTTTTGATAATTAAGCAACCTTTTATTTTGAAAGAATAATGCTATTGGCAGTGAAAACTATCAGCAATCGTCCTATGTAGCGTATACTTAGCAATTTTTTATTTGATGTATAATTCAAAAAATAACTACCATATATATATATATATATCAAATACCAAATTGTGAAGTGTATGCCACATAGAGCGACTATTAACAGTCTTCACTACGAATAGCATTACTCTTAAAAAATATATATCTATATATACATTTCTAAATATTGATTTGACATCATTTCAATCACAAATTTTTCAATAAAATAATATTACACATAAATTCAAAAAATTTTCTCATTTTTTAACCACACATTCTCTACTAATCTACTATTTTAGAATATATTCTTTCAAAATAATGTGGCACAAACACTTGAAATTTACTAAAAATCTGATTTTGATTCCTACCAAACAAGTATTAAATAAATGTAAACAATGCGTAATTAGAACGGTTTTGAAGTAAGAAGGGTTCACCAACCTCGCATATGATATATCGGGACTAAGCAAGCCCATTAATGACCTACAAAGATCACTGAGGAGGATCAACATCGGACTATTACAAATGACGAGCTAATTATTGTGTCAAGAAGCCCTTGCATCATCATTGCTATCAAGGATCAATCACAATTTTTGACAAGACAAGACAAATTACGATCAACTCGATCATGGACAATTATAGTCTTCTAATGCTTTTCTCCACCAATCAAAAGGTATCTCGCCATATTATTGACACAACTCCTGATGCAAATATTGTAGCTAGGGTATTTCAAATAGCCTATAAAAGGGAAGGAAGAGAGAAATATATAGATAAAGAGAGAGAAGAAGAAATAGAAAGAGATATGTTGGAGGCCCATATTGGCAACCACAAAAAGGTTAGGTAAGGTGACAAACGGGCTGCGCATTTCACGAATTCAACACTTCATGGCTTGGTTCATGAACCGTTCGAGTTCGTATTGAAAAAAGTCATGAATCAACACAAGCTCAATTTTTTGAATTCATGGATCAGCTCATTTTTTGACTGACTTTATTTATTTCTTAAAAATGCTCTACCTCATGGGAACCAGCCCAAAAAACGGTGATGTTGATGTTTAGCTTGGATGTGATCTTAGCCAAAAGCCCCAAAAAAAAAAAATAATAATAATAATAATGTCGCAGAGAATGTTGAGTGCGTGAAAGAAGTCGCAATTTAAAAAAATGAAAATGACAAATACAGAGACGAGGAGAGATAAATAAAAAGTAAAAAGGAAAAAAGGTAGAAAGAAAAGAAGAATATAGGTTAAGACTCAGGGAGATGGATGTGTGGCCTAAAAGGTAAAAGCCGACAGAGGTAACGCCAGAGAGAGCAGCTGCGACTGCTGTGCTGGTGAATGATTTGCGATCAAGGTTGCTGAGCCAGGATGAGTAATTTTCCTCTTAAGTTGCGATATGATACCATGTTAAGATTTACATTTGCTATATGTATTGACAATATTAATAATGTTACATAAATAGTCATAATACAGTTCAAATCCAAAACAAGAACAATTATGCTACATTAATCTTCGTGTAAAATATACAGAGACTGTGACAAAGAGTCGCCTTAGCTGTCTAAAACTTTATCACCAACAGGAAGCCACCGATATAATTTCATGTTTGTATAAACTCGAAGAACCTGTCAGTGTTAATTTTTCATGCTTCTACTTAATTTAGTACCATTAGGCATGTACCTACAAGCTACATGGCATCTCCAGTCTGACAGAATGGTAATACATCTAGAAAACAATTTGATTATCAAGACAATCATAGCATTTTATTAAAGAGCCCAAAAAAAAGAGGTTCAATTATTCAATAGCCATGCGATTTATTACTTGCCATCTGCATGCACACAAAGTAGTGGAAGTTGGATAACCATAAAGGGAATTAAAAGTAAGCAGATGAAACTGCATCAAATATCGACAAGACTTAAAAACTAGTTTTTTCAACATAACACGCTGATAATTTTCCATTTTGCTGGTTCATTTTGGGAGTGGAGTCTTCACAAATTCCCACGTGGTCTTATGAAAAGCCTCATTAGAACTTCTCGACCCCGCTACTTCATTGATGGGAACCGCATCGGTAATTTCTTTCAAATCATCTTTCGTAAGCTTCAATTTAAGAGAATCAATATTGGAGTGAAGATTCTTAATTTTAGTCGTACCTACAAATGTTAGAAGATTGAAAGATAAATCAATAAATCATCATTAAAACCGCTGCAATTCATGAGATCAATGTAATATCCACATTTCAGTCACCATCCATTGCATTACAGCATCCGCAAATGATAACAATTTTCCAGAGAAAGGCCTACATAAACTAGTTATGAAATAATCTCACTTCACGATCCAGATTTTCAAATCTTTCTATCTAGGAATAAATGGCCAATAACTATAGGGCATATATGCATAAGATGAATCTTGCTAATTGATGCTGAATTAACAAAAAGCTAGCACAAGCAGATACATTTTTTTTTCTCTCGTTCTAACCCTTTCCTCTCCCTGGAAGAACAGGGTAAAAAGAAAAGGAATATCATTTTTTTTATGACCGTGGGTGTTCAAACTAGCTTACGCGCTCCTCGACTAATCCCACGGGACCCTGAAGTTTATAGCCGGATACTCACCTCAGTAGCTTTGAGGGGATTCGAACGGGTGACTATTGGGGAGCAAAACCAAGACCTAACCACTAACATAAATAGAAATCTATGAAGAAATGTTGGTTTTCAAACCCATCCCTAATAAGTGAGGGTACCTGAAATTCAAGAGGTGCTTAGTGCTTAGCCGTGACAAGTAGTGGTGGTTATTGGTCTATTCTATCACAAATAAGGGTTCAACTTCTTGTTCAGCAAATAATATGTTTAGAGCAAAGTCTAGAGCACGCCATTTACTACAAGCAGATAAACAAAACAGATCATAAACTCAATAGTCATGAATTATGCTTATATTCTTCAGGAAAACATGTTGCCTTACTCTTCACTTAGTCTTGCATTGTTGAACACTTGTGGGTGATATCTGCATTACAAACATGATTTTTGTTCGACTAATCTAATTTAGGTGCACTAGCTCTAGAAATAAATGTGGTAGCAAAATTAACACTCCTCACACCTGTCAACATAGTTGATAGAGTGGGATACTCGAGCCATTGGTTGAGTTCAATGTGAAGGAAATATTTATCTTGGGAAGCCCAATTTGCTCAGTTTGAAGGATAGGAAACCTCAAGAAATGAATAGGAGTTGGAGATCTTTCTCCCGGGGCGGAGCCAAGATTTTAGTTTAGTGTGAGCAAAATTTTTTCGACGTCGAATGTCGAGGTTTTGGTCATGGATTTACTGACGATAAAAAAATAAAATAATAGTACGACAATACTAAAAACGACATAATTTATATATTACACTTGTTCCTTGCGAGTTTTCATACTCTGTGCGAACCGGCACTGCGACGCCGCGATAGGGACGAATTCTCTCACTCGCAGACAAAGAGTTGGATTGATTCAAATGAATAAAATGGGTTTGGATCAATTGAATTTTGAGGGAATGGGTTTAATAGGACTTCTCTCTCTAGCTGGACAGGGAATTGGGTTAAAAAAATAATAATAATAATAAATAAATTCTGCCCAAATGTCCAGTGACACGCTTTGGCTCCACCCATTCTTTCTCCTCTATGTGTGCCTGTTTATGTTCAGTGGTGGTGGAGAGGCATGAGTCTAAAATAGAGACTTTCAATCTTTTGAGAGAGAAGGAGCTTTAATTTCCAAATTCCTTTGCCCAATACTTAATGTAACTGAATTGGCACTGAACTGACTCAAATAGGGAGGCCCAGTTAATTAGTTCAAATGGCTGTTTCGGCTTTGTCCATGTCACAATTCAGTTTCAGTTCCGTTCATTACTATACTTGTAAGCTAATTAAAACACCCAAATGCATGCATCTCCAAGACGATTTCTGTTTACATACTTTTGAATATGAATATTCTTACACTCTCCTAGAGGAAAGATATGTTGTAATAAGAATATAGAGTGAGGTCAGTGTCAAAGTTTTCTAAACAGATAGTTCAAATATCTTTAATACTCTATATTTCCAATCTCTCAAACATTGTTTCCACTACAGTACTTAAAGAAAAGCTTCTTATATGATTGGCTTACCTGGAATAGGAACAACATCGTCTCCTTGATGAAGAACCCATGCAAGCGCTAGTTGAGCAGGAGTGCATCCATGCTTCTTAGCCAATGCTTCTACACGAAAGTATAAGACTTTATTCTTATCAAAGTTCTCTCCCTGAAGTCTTGGGTGATCTGCCTGAAGGTACAAAAATTACACTACTTCTCAGCAACAAGAGATTATAAAAGCGAAGAAACTACAAATTGATCTTTGATACTAAAGAAGATATTACACATTGAAAATTTTAAAAGACATGGATGCGTACACACCAATGAGTTATTTTCCATGCTTCCCACAACAGCCTTCCCAGCAAAAAACCCTCGACCTAAGGGACTGTATGGAACTATTCCAATCCCAAGTTCTCTATGATCCATTTCCGAAAAGAAAAAAAGAAACACTACATGAGATCATAATCTTTAAATATGAAGGATGACAATTAGAAAAATAACCGACACAAGCTTGAATTGTAGTAGTGGAAAGAAGATTAATCAGAGTATTGAAGCATTGATAGAAAAGAGGGAAAATACTTATTGTATTCTAATTAAAAGCACAACGTTCAAAACACTAACTGAGACGGTAGTTTTAACCATTAGTACTGCAAATTAAATTCAGGAAGAAAAATACAAAAACATGGAAGCATTAAAATAGAATACAGGAGCTCAACATTGTAATGTTAATCCTAGGAGAAAAACGACATCAAATAATTATGTTGTGCAAAATTAATTTCAAATTCAAACATCAGCTCTTAAGTTCCTATTTAGATAGCAAGTTGCAAAAATGTTAGCTGAATATAATATTTTATGAGTGTTACAACAAAAATATTTGAGAAATATGGGAAACCTGCAAAGTGGAAATATCTCTTCTTCGACATCACGAACCCAAAGGGAATAGTCCATTTGTATAGCAGTAATAGGATGAACTGCATGAGCCCTCCTTATTGTGTCTGGACTAGCTTCACACAACCCAATATATTTAATTTTACCTTCGTTGACTAGCTTTTTAAGTTCACCCATCTGAAACTCCAAATCAATTATATCAACAAGAGCGACCATGTTGTAAGTGAACATATGGTTAATGACCACTATCCTAAATGGATATATAGGGCCAGATGAAAAAAAGAAAGAAAAGAAAAGAAAAAACTCACAGTGTATTCAATAGGTACACTAGCATCAATCCGGTGTATGTAGTAAAGATCGATATAATCCACATCAAGACACTTTAGGCTAGCCTCACAGCAAGAGCGGACATATTCCGGAGTACCTTTTACTATAACTCCCGAAGCATCAAATCCAGCTCTACCAAACTTTGTAGCCAATTGAACCTTTTCTCGAGGTAATTGCTTTAATGCCTGAAAATTGATAATTCCCAGAGTTAAGGAACTCAAAGGTGACCACGAAATACCCAAGTGTTGCATTTGGTGACTTTCGAATTAAGAGTCATCCAATAATAGTCCATGATTTAAAAGATTTTAGCATATCTTTAAGAATCATCTAAAGACCAAATTATATTAAATTTTAAAGAGAAACGTATTCAAATTTCTTGTCTTCCTTTGTCAACTTTGTATTACACATGCGATAGTTAAACTTTTATCAATCATAATTCCCAACTTTTGAAGGAAAACTTCTGCAAGTTCACAAGTTTTATGATAAATAACTGCAAGAAGTTTTAAGCAGATGGATATATTCGAGAAATGAAGCTATCTGTCCCTTTTTTTCCTTTCTTTTTGTCACAAAATTTCCACTTAATATTTTTATTGTCGTGGATTTAAATGTAAGAAAATGGAGCTACAATATCATTATTCTTGTCCACATCAACTTTCAATACCAAAAGAAACAAAAATATCTTGCCAGCATATATATTCAAATGTGCTGCCTAATCAAGAATAAGTATCTCGAAAGAACATACCTTTCCTACCAAGTACTCGTTGGCATGGTTCGCACCATAAACATTTGCTGTGTCAAAAAGTGTAATGCCTTTACTAAATGCCTCTTTGATTATTGCAATTGCGTCCTCCTCAGGGACAGGATTATTGTAGACACCTGAAAGCCCCATACAACCATAACCTAGCTTTGATACCTAAGAGGAAAAACAAGTCATTGGATGAAGCAATGGGGTTGGAGAAAACTAATGAATGATTGCATTAACTGCCAATCAATTTGCTGGAGCTTAATATGGGGGTGGGAATGCACTGACAATATCAGTCTGCCAGAATTCTAAGGCCCCGTGATTTTTCACCCCAAAAATTGATTTTTTGACTGTTATTTCCATAAGTCATTTTTAACTTCTTCACTCACTCACATGTGGCCCTCACTTTTCTCTCTAATGATCAAAAAATCAATTCTCAAAATCACTACCAAATGTGCCATAAACGTTCTTTGTCCTTTACTCAGGCAACTCAGTGCTATTTCTCATGTCTTAATTAATTAAGTTGGGGGTTAAAAGCTCTTTTGGCGGCAAACTTTCAGAATGCTTCACTTTATTTTCCAACTCTTTTTAAAGTATACATGGACAAATCAGTGACAAATGCCATCTAGAAAGACCATCAGTTACATAAGCAACAAAGCAAAACATCTCAACAAAACGGTAATATTTACTAAAAGAACAATTTAAGTCCAATAATCATATATGCTTAAAAAAAGATCAGGGACTGAGAAGACACATTTCAATAACAGATGTACTGATTCACGAACAAAATAGAGTATAGACTCCCTTCAAAGAATACAAATGGAGTACAAACAGTGTCTAGCAAGATATGTACGAAACCTTGAGCAATCATTCACTGGTGAAGAAATACAGGGTTCTAGTTCTGGCGTTAACATGCTTGGTCCCGCTTATGGGGGTCAAATCAATCAGTTATAAGAAGAAACGTGTGAATAGCAATCTCATCCATCTCCATATGACAACTTTTCAACTATGACCCCAAAAACCCAAACTCTGCCTTAAGATACGACTAGCCTCTGGATCAGGGACGGAGCCAAGTAATCCAGTGGCTGGCTCCGCGCCCGATTACTATTATACGGAAAGGTCACCCACTCGATTGATTATAATCAGGACACCATAAGCACCACCAACTAGAAAGGTTACCCGTCGAATCAAATAGATCTCTTGATTCATTTGGTAGGGAGAAAAAATTTCAAGTAGGATCTCCAAATTGAATATAATGCGAAAGTGAATTAAGCAAATGTAACATATACCTCAAGTCCTTGGGTACCGAGTTTCACTCGCGGCATCTCAAATTGTTCAGCCATTGTCACCTTTCTGAGCGATCTTCGAAGTAAAGAGTGCTTCTTCCAGAGAGTAGAAGCTACACCATTTTTCACATATATCGAAGAAAATAGGTGGTTGACTGACGTAAGCGATAACGTCATGGTATGGTACTCTCAGCAATTAGTCGTCCTTTGATGAGACCTGCTACACGATACAGGCCATCACATGGGAACGGGCCCGCGCATTAATTGGGCATGGTCCCTTCCTTTATGCGCGAGGAGTGTAGCTAGGTGTACCAAGGAAAAAAATTCTAGATTATGGCATGTTTGAGCTACATTTTCAAAAAAATAATAAAATATTTTTCAATGATAATTTACATCATTTTAATAATATATTTTTTAATAAAACAATATTACACTCAAATTTAATTTTTTTTATTTTTTAATCACACATTTCTTATCAATACACTATTCAAAAATGCATTTTCATTCCAATAATGTGACTCAAATAAGGGCCAAAATTATAAAAACCTCCCCATATTTTATGACAATTCTTTTTTACTCCTTATGCTTTAAAACAAAAAAAACATTCCCATTAGCTAAGCATAAATTTTTCAATATATCATTTTCTCATTAACTAAGAGCTTATTATGCCCTCGTTTGATTCTTATTCTTGTAAAAATGAGAATGAAAAATATAGTCGTTACGGGACCCACACAAAAGAAAGGAAGTCAAATATAGTGATTTGATGTAATGGATAACGATCATATTTTTCATTTTTTTGGCCAAAAAATGAAAAATAAACGAGGCCTAGATGTAAATTTTAGAAAAAAAAATTTACACCATAAAACTCAAAGTGACTTTTCGACATTTTGAATATTTTTAATAAACCACTCAAAAAACTCAAAACAATGAAAATGAACATAAAAATTTCTTAAAATAAAATAATTAATTAAATCACACAAAACCTACACAAATATAAATCTAAATCTCTCTCTCTCTCTCATCCCGATCTCCTTCAAAAACCCTAAACAAATTTGATAAGACTACTCAATTTATAGATTTTGTGAGGCGCAAAGTATGGTTTTCATTCTTCAATGTTAACTGGGTGGTTGAATTTTAGAATGTTACAATTTCATCCTTCTATATCTGTATTAATCTTATTGCTATCAATTTCTCAAAGTTTTCCAACCTCGAAGCGAGCTCGGAGTGTCTGGTGTCGTAAATCTCCTCTTCGTAAATAGATACAGGAAGCAGATGTACTTCGAGGAGAATTTCGTATTGAAAACCATCCTCAAGAGGCTAACAATTGGCTTGAGCACATAAAGTAAGGGGTCAAGAAGTGGATGAAGAATAGGTGAGGTGGCCACCTAATTAGGGAAGGTTCGAATGGCCTCATCTTCGAGGTGTGAGTTAACGGGTAAGGCCATTAAGATAAGAGACATATCTAAACCCTCGGCCTTCGGGGCTACTAGTGGTCAAGTTCCTAGATGAATGGCTACTACTATCACTTGACCCTTTGCTGCTACTACTACACAACATTATGCTTCTTAAAAATTCAATAACTTAAAGGCTTGAACTTTTACATCTTAGGATGGTCGCTCACAAACCCAAAATTCTCGAACTCGAACTGCTTTTATTGGAAGCTCAGTTTGAAACAATGAAAAGTGGGGTATTTTTGGAGGTCCTTGAAAGGTCAAAGATCGTCCAATCTTAGCCCTTCAATCATGACACGTGGCAATCATCTGAGATAGATTCCTATCAACCCAACATATGTTGTCTAACACATGTCATGCATTCGGTTATGAATAAAATGCAACCTCGATATAAGCACCAAATAATGAATAAAATACAACCTTAATAATGTAACCATGTATTATTATATTGCCATATAGGACTTTAAACATACTTTTTAATTTTGTCCTTGTTTGAGCCCTATTCTTGAAAAAAAAAAAAAACTTGAATAGTGTATTGATGAAAAAGGTATTGTTAAAAAATAAAGAAAAATTTTAGATTTTCTTATAATATTGTTTTAATGAAGAACATGTAGTTGAAATGAGATCAAATCACTGTTGAAAAATGTATTTTGATAAAATAATGAGACTCGAACAAGGGCTTTATAAATAAATTATAAGGAAAAGTGTAGCAGCCGCTCCTAACCTTTTCATATTTTACAGACTTTATCCTAACATTTAATTTGTGTCAAAAAGGTCCCTAACATTTCAAAAATATGCATTTGGAGTCCAAATACATTTGACCGTCAATGGACCAACAAAATTGGACTTTGATTAATTTTGATCAAATTGAAATGGAAAAAATGGTAACATTGCCATTATATAACTAGTATGCGTCTCGTGCGTTGCACGAATTTTGTATTTATTTTTGTTTTATTAGCGTAAAATTTATAAATTGTACAATAAGTATTTGGAAATAAGAAATGTTTATTTGATTCTCATCTTTTGGTCGACTGTATATTTTATATCACTATAATTTATTTTTATTCTTATAAATAAGTATAATGAATGTTGTGATTGTATATATGTCAATGATAATTTATTTTTAAT